GATCCCAAACCCTCCTGGCTGTGCCCCTGGGCACCCTGCTGGGGGTGAGCTGCTGGGGCAGGGGGTTGGATGAGATGATCCCCAGAGGTCCCTTCCAACCCCAGCACGCTGGGATTCTGGGATCTAGTCCCCAGAGTGTAATTAGTGCCCAGGGTAGTTTTGGTCACTGTCCCTGGGGCAGCACAGGGGGGACTCTGGGGATGGGGCCACTGCTCTCCCGCGGCCCTTGTCCGGCAGCTCAGGGCGAGCTGCAGCTCGACATCTCGGGGTGTGCACCCTCCAGAGTCCTCCTGCAGTCCCGGCCCTGCCCCCAGCCTGCTGCTGCCCCTGTCCTGCTCTGGCTCAGCTCTGCTGCCCAGCCCTGGCACGGCTCAGGGGGTGGTTGGTGCCCGGCTCTCGCCGCGTGCTCCCGGTGACCAGCTGGGTGACCAGCTCCTTGCCTCCCAGGTGACGTGGCCCCTTCTGGAACCAGCGAGTCCGACGATGCCTTATTCAGAGACAAGCTGAAGCACATGGGAAAATGTGAGTGGGTTTGCAGGCTCCGTGCTGGCCGTGGGGTGCTGGTGGGCAGGGGGAGAGCCGGGGGCACTGCCTGGTGGTCACCCAGCACCGCCGTGCTCCCGGCTGACACCCACCAGGTTTGGTGTCACCTCCCTTGGCAACCAAGCACACGCAGCCCTGTCACCGTGGGAGTCATCAGAGGGCTGGCACGTTGGCACACAGGGCACACGCTGTGGTGGCACGTTCTGCTCGGCCCCAGCAGCGGCGTTTTGGGGCTGGGCTTCTGCATTTGACAACCCTGGGTGGGTGTGGCCCTGCCCTGCAGAGCTCTCCAGGCCCTCACCAGCCCCAGGGAGCTCCTGTCCTGCTGGGAGATGAACGCCAGGGTCTTGGTGCCCCAGCTCTGCACTGTCCCTCTGCCCCTGGTGCATGTGTGGGCTGTGGCTTGAGTCAAGGATGGAAAATAGACTGAGGTCCATGAGCAGCTGGAGTTGGGCTGCAGCTGTTTGAGACTCTGTGGAGATGTGGGTCAGTTGTGGGTAAGGAAAGTCACAAAAATCCCAGGGAAAGGGAAAAAAAAGTCAGAACCCCCTGCCAGGGACCAACATGTCCCTGTTGGTCCCAGGACCCAGCTCTTCAAGCCTGGCAGCCTCGCGTGGCCCTGACGTTTCCAGGCCGTGGGGTGTCGGGGTGCAGATGGGTCTTGCACCCCTGGCCCTGCCCATCTCCTCCCCATCACCGTGGCAGCTTTGGGAGGGGGTTGGGGTGAGACCCTCACTGTGCTGCTTCCTCCCAGCCACGCGCAAGAAGCTGTTTGAACTCGCCAGAGCCTTCTCAGAGAAGACGAGGATGAGGAAATCAAAACGAAAACACTTGTTGAAGCACCAGGTGTATCCTAAGAGGGGCTGGGGAGCTGTGGGGGGT